TATGTGACCAGGTCACAGCAATAAACAGGGCACAGAGAGACTGAGTTGACAGCCTGTTCCTCAAGTTTTTTTATGCTGTGTTCACATTACTAAAATCAAATGCTCACAAGAGCCATCTGAAATGTTCATGCAGCAAGATTTGCTACAAAAAGAAACAGTAACAGGTTCAAAAAAAATCTTACACTTGCAAAAAAGTTCCATGGCCATTGAAACAATAGCTAGGAGGTAAGTTTTCAGCAAGATGCAGATACATGAGTTTAACCATGCAGCTTCCATTAACATTGATCCCATTGGAAATTTCTCTGTAAGGATCTAAGAGCAGAAGACTGAATAATCTAAACTGGTCTATTCTTCTTTAAGAGAGATAAATACATCAAGGAGAGAGAAACAACAATTGAACGGTCACCTGGGAGAACTGGAGAAAGACACATTAGGATCCTCCTGGGCCATCTTCAGAAGTTATTGTACCTGCCATGCTGGATTTAGATATTAAATCTGCTCCCATTTATATTGAGAAATGTAGGTTATACAATTCTCAAGAGGCTTTTGATGGAGCAAGGAAAGGTAAAAGCCAGGTCCGTCACTGTAAAATAATTGTGATGCATTTTGGGAAAAAGTGGGAATAGGGTTATGGAGACAGCAATATTCAATATTACTCTGCTAGATGTTCACAACATAACACATGCTTGATGGATAAATGAACCCACTAGAAAAGACAATGAAGGGGCAGATGGACCTGAAAGAAGATTGATGAAGTTTGTTGGGTGGACAATAAAATATTTAGTTTATTACGATTTACGTTTTGCTATTGGAAGACTGTTGATATTTAACTCATCATTATAGCATTGTTTTGTTTCATTATGAATCTTTTTTTTCCTGCTCCTTAATGTGCACCACAATGTAACATTTCTTTCCCTTTGGAGATGCTATAATTTTCTAGAGAAGGAGCTGGATTCCCTTTTTTCTCAACACTCAACAGAAAACAGGATTGGATCACTTCTCTGTTCTTTTTCTTTTGATTTCAGAGGCAGCTAGCACAGCAGGCAATTGTTTCACCAATACAGCAAATACCTTTTCTCTTTCCATCAGTTAAGTGACCACAGTTAAGTGAGTTTCTTTATTTCTTCTAATAGTCTTACAGCACCTTAAAGACTAACAAAAACATGTAGATGGGTTGTGCCCACGAAAGCTTATGGTACCATCTACATGTTTTGTTAGTCTTTAAGGTGCTGCAAGACTATTCATTGTTTTTTTAAGTTTTTCCAGTTACAGACTAACTTGGCTATCGTTCTGTAGCCTTTATTTCTTCTGACACCCCTTCCTTTTTGAAACCTGAACCTCCTCAGAGTACTTCCAGAGAGAACAAGGAACATGTCAGGAGAATATGATCACCTCCTAGAAGGGAGGAGGAGCATTTCCAGACTGAGCAGCCCAACAGAGCTCCACCTTTGAGCAAGGTTACACTAGTCTATGTCGACCCAGCAACATTATTTCGGAATAACTAACATTATTCCAAAATAACATACTGCACATCTAGACTACAAGCCTCTATTTTGAAATAACATCGAGCTGGAGGACTTCTTACTCTGACTCATGGTTACCCTCTGTAAGCTGGTCAGCTCTGGGAGGGGCGCCTCCCCTTCGGGGTCAGTGGGTGGCCATTCCACTCCACTACACCTGGATCAGTCTCTGGGGAGAATTAACACAACAAATAACCAGTCTGGGGTCCCCCACTCTTACCTCAGGGTGGGGTGACAAAAGTAACCAATAACAAAAGGTGGCCTGGGTTTGGGCAGGCTGTCAAATGATAGGCAGAGGCCTGGCCTTAGTTCAGGGCGGGCCACCAGTAAATGGTTTGTAGCCCGGCCTTTGGTCAGGGCGGGGCAGCCGGTAGCAGTTTATAAGCCCAGCAGTTAATCAAGGCCCAGCCCTGGTTCAGGGTGGGGCTGCAGGTAAACAGTTCAGAGCCCAGCCTTTGCTCGGGGCGGGGCGGCAGGCACAACAGTTTATAAGCCCAGCCCTTGGTCAGAGCAGGGCGGCAAGCAAAACAGTTTATCAAGGCCCAGCCCTGGTTCAGGGCAGAGTCGCAGGAAAACTTTTCATAAAGGCCCAGTTTATCAGGGCCTATCAGTTTATCAAGGCTCTACACAGGTGACATCTCCTTGCTCAGGAGGGTTGCAGGCAGTTCGCCAGCACTGGCAGAGATGGGGAGGCTACCACCCAAGCAGTGGGGGACAGGCCCGTCCACTCCACTGTGTACCGGCCCATGGCCCTAGAGGCAGCAGTTTACTGCTGTTGGATCAGCGGGGCTCCATGCCAAAACACACTGATCCGGGCGTGTCTATGTCCATGCTGTCCCCTGGGTCACTTCCCTCCTCCCCCTCAGCGCATACCTGGTAGTCAGGTAGGTCTCCCATGGTGTCAGAGGGCTCAAGGTCCATGGGCCACCCCTCAGTGGTGGGCTGGTGTTTGAGAATTCTGGGCAAGTCGATTGTTCCCGGGGCCGCTGTGCCCAAGCAGTGTATGTCAAAGCACTTTATAACACTGCCGGATTATTTCTTTGTCAGAATCCCTGAGTGGCAAGCACAGACAGACCGGAGAAAGGGATGGCTAGTATGAAAACCGTCAGAGTCTAAAGCAGCAGCAAGAGGGAGCAAGAACACAGGCACTTTGTCAGAACTACTAGCAATGGGAGGGGTCCTGGCAGTGACATTTAGCAGGCTAGAGAGACAGCTTTTTTGGGGAGCCTATATACCTGACTTGTGATCATGTGGGTGAGTCCTTTGGACTGGCTGAGATCTCGTTAAACAGGATGGGCCTATGTCAAGCCTTGCAGATAATTGCCTCTAATGACTCATCTGGTTTAAAAGCGCGTCTAGATTGGCACGGACGCTTTTCCACAAAAGCGCATCGTTATAACGCGAACTCTGCGCCAATCTAGACACTCTTTTCTGAAAATGCTTTTAACGGAAAACTTTTCCGTTAAAAGCATTTCCGGAAAATCATGCCAGTCTAGACGTAGCCACAGGGTTTACAGTGTAGTTCAATAGCTCTCAGTACCTCCACTGCAAAATTGTTCCAGCAGCCCTGCTCCTATTTTATAAGGGAGGAAATGGAGTCAAGGACTTTCTGTGATCTTAGGCAAGTTTCTGAAAGAGCTCACGTCAGAACCAGGATTAGAATGCCAGAGTTCCTGACGTCCAGTCAGAAGCTTAGCACACTAGGCTGCATCTCTGCTATATTCAGAATGGCTCACAATACACTCCCCTATTGCTATGCAACTGTTTGTCAGAGCAGAAACACAATTAAACATTGGAAACAGGCTCCAGTGAACACACACCAGATGTTCTCAAATCGCTCCCCTCCGCCCTCCCCCCACACTCACACACACTGTACTTAGTTGAACTGTGGAAAGTTCAAAACTCAACATTCAGTCTGACATCTAAAGTATTTCATGACCCTCGTTTTATGAAAATTTGATTTGTTCTTTGTTAAAACCTCAAACTCCCATTTAATTCTAACATATAATTACAGCTTGAATTCATTATAGTCCCTCACATGTCAGATCCATATATTATATTCTACCTCAGAAGGCGGCCCCTGGGAAATGCGGGGGAAGTGGCTCAACACTCCCAGAAGGGGTGGGGCATTGGGAGGAAAGGGCAGGGCTGGGACAGTCAGCCCCCAGTATCACCTAGAAGGCCCAGTGCTCTCCTCGATGGCCTTCAGAGCCTGCCGGAGCATGCTACCCAGTGCTCCTGCCATGATTCTAAAGGGCCTGGCCAGGAGCCTTGGTTCCCTTAGAATAACCAGGCCTTGGGTCAATTGTTTCCTGTGCCTCTTCCCCATTGGCAGGCCTGACTCCTTGTCACCATCTTTACTGTTTGAATAAAGTTTGTTTTGATGGGCAATCCTTAGAAAAATCCAGTTGAAGGAGAGACTGGACCATGAAAGCGAGGAGCAAAAAACACACGTCAGGCAGTCTCTCTTTCTCCTAAGATGACAAAGGAGTCAGACCTTTGGACCTTGAAGGTAGATCCTGACATGGAAACAAGTGATAAAGATTTTGCCTTGGATCCAGTCTAGCCTGTTACATTTTAGTTATTTAAGTTATTTAAAAAGCATTTTATTTTTATTTCTCTTGCAACCTTTTCTGACTTTAAAACCTTACACTTGCACTCATTCAAAGCCTCTCTTAAATAAACTTATTTTAGTATTTAAATTTTAAAAAAATCATGCAGTTTGTGTTTAAACTGAATTGCTTGATAATTCCAATTGAAGTAAAAATTATTGTGCATTTGAACCTAGGACCTCTGGAGCTTAGTGTAGGAGCCGGTGCAGCTTGAACTATAAAGCCAGCTGACTCTCAGCTTAGGCTGTAGAGCTCCCCTGTTCTTATCTCTCGCTGTAAGTGGGCTAAGTCAAATGCCAGTACATGAGACAGTGAACCATACTATAGGTGTGTGGGTTACACGTTGACCCCTTACTGGGGGCAATGGACCTAAATTACTGCACTGTCCAGGAGAGGTCTGGACAGTGCAGAACATGCTTTTTTGTGAGGGATTAGGAGGAAAGCAGAGGAATCTGGGACATAAATGTGTTCAGGTCATACTGCAAGTATTATCCAAGGAAGCTAGAAGCCACAGTGTGACTGATGTGTGGCTGGAATGCTAGCTATGCAAAGACACTCTGGGTGTGACCAGCATGTTATGTGGCTGTTTGAAAGCAGCTCAGATGGGATGTATAGCACCAAATATTGTGAGGCAGTCCAGGTTGCAGGATTGGTTTACATCCTAGAATGCAAGAAGCACTTTTGAGCACAGCGTCAGAAGCATGGCGAAAGCACTACCACCACCACTGCTGAGGTAGGACCTGCCAGGCCATTCTGTTTTGTTGATAGGATTTTTTTCATTTTTTTAAAACTGTATCTGAGTGAATAGTATGTGTGTCTGTTATGGACTTTACGCTATTTTCATTACAAAACTACGTAAAAAAGACAGCAAGTCAATTTCATAGTCAGTACTTACACAGCAGGAGACAATTCATACTGACATTTGATACCTGCTGACTGCTGCTTCCAATTACGCCAGAGGTTGGAGAACAGGGCTGTCGAAATAACAGTGTCGATTGTGCAATGAGGCTAGTTAAAATTCTAGGCGCATGTTGTACTTGGTTCAGTACACTGTCAAACTCCCACCATAAGCAAAATAGTGACATTCCTTTTTTGTTAACTTCTTAAATAGCAAAGAGATGCACAGTAATTCAAGGTAAAGTTGCATCTTTGGATATACAGCTGAATCTGCCTTGAGGCTAAAAATCAAACGATTGGCGGGAAAGTGAATGAAAAGTGAAACAAACATGATAAGGACTTATAATAATGCAACCCTGCCAGACGGTACTAGAAGGCTGGATTGCAACCCTCGAGGCAAGATCACGTGTAATGCTTGTCCACTGTCTCACAGTGCACAAGAGAATGCTGACGTCAGATCAAAGTCAATGCTTTCCTGAAACTGACTTCTAACTTGTTGGGCAGGACTGAAAGTTGAATGAAAGGACAGGAAATTGCTGAGGCATTAACTGATCTACAGAGACAATGGGGCAGTCAACTCTGGCAATGGCTGCTTCTGCACAAGCTGAAGAAAGGAGAACAGTCTGACCAAAAAAACCTAGCTGTGTGCACTCTTAATCAGCTGGATGGCAGTGGAATCTCGTGAGTGACTGCACAAGTGCCCAACTTACAGGGAACACTGGTAAAGACTGGGGTAAAAAAACAAAGGTTAATTTCTGTCACAGTTACAGTGCTTTCAGAGAGTGTGAAAACTGCCTTGTTCTCCCTCCACCCCCCCCCAACCCCCTCCCACACCAGCCCTACAAGCCCCTGTCAAACACGGCATGAATATGACTCTAAGCCTTTTGGTCCTGCAAGAAGCCATAGCCATTTACATGGGTTGGAGACTCTACCTTAGACACGGACAGCCCTTCCTGCCCGGCACTCTGGCTCCCAGCTTCTCCTAACCTGCCTCGCCCCACACAAGGGCAGAGGGGGACCTCTGAAAAGGAATTAAGCACTACAGAATGTTTTCCTTTTCCTCTTGCTTTCCATGGGCTCAGCTGGGCTGGGTGGAGCACAGAGCCTGAGAACACGCCAGTTAGGCACACCCCCTCAAGTGTACATGGACATTGCAGCTAGGAGCAAGCCAAGAAGATAGATGTGCACTAGTGGGGCTTGAGCTAGCATGTTAAAAAGACAGCAGCATTACAGGGGTGCTAGAACAGGGCAAGCTCCCACTTTTTGCAGGCTGTAAAGACAAGTAACGGGAGTTGAGGTCGAGGGGGTGGGGGCGGGTAGGAAGAGGTAGCATGGGAGTGGGCCCTCAGAGGAAAAGGCAGGGCAGGGACTTCTGGGGGTGGTTCAGGGATAAAGGATGCTGTGGGGGAACAGTCTTGGGGGCAGTGAGGTAGGCAAGGCCATGGTTCAGGTTACTGTGTCCCCCTCCCCCGACTTTTAGAGTGCCTCTGCCACTCCTGTGGTGTGCGCTTGCAACTCTAGAAAAGGCTTGGGCTAACCACCTGAGCTCAGACCCCAGGGGCTGGGTGGGCTGTAGCAGGGGCTGTGATATGGGCCCTTAATGCCCAGACACCAGGGGGTAGGTCTCTCCCTTTCTCCCACAGCCACACCCTTCCCCTCTTACAGCCCCATACTTCCTTCGAGCCTGCACCCCTCATCTGGTCAGAGGTAAACCCCTCAAATGGTCTAAGGTAAACAGGATGAAGTTTAATAAAGACAAACGTAAAGTTCTTCACTTAGGAAGGAACAATCAGTTTCACACATACAGAATGGGAAGCGACTGTCTAGGAAGGAGTATGGCAGAAAGGGATCCAGGGGTTATAGTGGACCACAAGCTGAATATGAGTCAGCAGTGTTATGCTGTTGCAAAAAAAGCAAACATGATTCTGGGATGCATTAACAGGAGTGTTGTGAGCAAGACAACGAGAAGTCATTCTTCCGCTCTACTTTGCGCTGGTTAGGCCTCAATTGGAGTATTTTGTCCAGTCCTGGGCACCGCATTTCAAGAAAGACGTGGAGAAATTGGAGAGGGTCCAGAGAAGAGCAACAAGAATGATTAAAGGTCTAGAAAACATGACCTATGAAGGAAGGCTGAAAGAATTGGGTTTGTTTAGTTTAGAAAAGAGAAGATTGAGGGGGGACATGATAGCCATTTTCAGGTATCTAAAAGGGTGTCATAAGGAGGAGGGAGAAAACTTGTTCATGTTGACCTCTGAGGATAGAACAAGAAGCAATGGGCTTAAACTGCAGCAAGGGAGGTTTAGGTTGGACATTAGGAAAAAGTTCCTAACTCTCAGGGTAGTCAAACACTGGAATAAATTGCCCAGGGAGGTTGTGGAATCCCCATCTCTGGAGATATTTAAGAGTAGGTTAGATAAATGTCTATCAGAGATGGTCTAGACAGTACTTGGTCCTGCCATGAGGGCAGGGGACTGGACTCGATGACCTCTCGAGGTCCCTTTCCAGTCCTAGTATACTATGATTCTATGATCCTCTCCTGCATTCCCACTCCCTGCCCCAGCCCAGACCCTGTATCCAGTGCCTACATCTCAAATCCTCTTCCATATCCAAACTCCCTTCCAGAGCCTTAGGCAGGTACCCATTTGCGGGGGTGGAGGGACTTGGACCCATTCTGGGCACCGCCAAATACTCTACAACCTGACGCCCTCAGGCAGGAGAACTTAAGATGCAACCTCTACACTGATACACACTGGCTTGAGCCCTGCTAGCACAAGCATGGCTAATCTGAGCTGGGAGGCTCACTGCCATCTATAAACTTACCCCAACTGTAGTTCATGTGAAACTTGAGCCACAAACACAGACTGCCCCAACTCTTCCCTACTATGTATCCCAAGGGAGTACGTGGACATTAGCACTTACAGCCCTTCCTTGGGTGAATTCCATGCCACACCCAGCAACACAAGGTCCTGTTGGAACAGAACAGTGCAACAGAAGCTTCTTCACCTCAACAGTATGAATCTAACTCTTTACCAACCAACAGTGTACACCTAAGCTGTGGTGAAAATGGCAGAGCTCTGTGTCCTGAAGGCAATTTCTTTCTACAGACTATAATAGTGTCTTAATGTTTTTAATGGCATCATTCACAGGAATAGATTTAAAAAAAAAAAAAAGACTGCAATGAAATACAAAAAGACTCAAATGAAGTGGTCTCAGACTATATACCAGCTGCATTCCAAAAGAAAAATGATAGAGGTGGAGTACCCTGGTCTGAATAAGACAAGTCTTTGTTCATCAAGAATTCAAAGTCTGTGGTTACATTAATGCAGTTAAACCTCAAATATGTTTACAATAATCAGTCCTCGTAAATGCCAATTGATTCTTTAGAATACCTTAATTAACGATTTCTAAATCTTTTACGTTTGAGTAAAATCCTCAATTTATGTGTTAATATGAAGTGTCTTTTTTAATTACTAGAACAAACAATTGGTCTTATAAATCTAAATTAAATGCGTAGCTCGGGCTCATTTAAATACTTTTTTTTCTTAAATCTTCCAGACAATAAGACCTATGACTGAAAGAAGTACATATGAAGCAGCATTGGCAATAATTTTATAATGCACCAATGAGACAGCCTCAGTAATACTTCAGGGTATTTCTAGTCTTTGAAAAATGGGAGGATTGAAACAAAACAAAAAAAAAAAAATCTAGAAAGGCAAGTTTTGACATCCACTGATTTCCCTCCTCCTTTTCCACCCCAAAAAGGGAATATAGATTAAATCTCATAGTTATATACAATTTTGTTTATGAATTTAAACAGGATCATGTTCTAAACTATTTGATTAATCATGGATGTTAACTATTTTGGTAATGGCTCCAATCCATACTTCAGGGGCCAAATGTAACATCTCATTAATAACAATTACGTGATATGCTGTGACATGTTTTTATTTATTACAACAGTTTAATACAATTACCTTGATTGAAGAAAAAGAACCATGCAGTCTCAAACAATTATTTGTGTGAACAACAAAAGTGATTTTGCTGCATCTTACAGTAGTTGATGTTTGGCGCATACTAACAGAACAGTCTATGTTGTACATTTGTCCCAACCAGGGCACTGAGGCTTGGGCATTGCCTCCCCACACACCCAGAGTAGTGGAGCTCAGGTGGGCTCAGGCTTCTGTTCCTGCCCCCCCAGCGTCATGTAGTTATTTTTGCTGCTAGAAGGGGGTTGTGGTGCAGTGAAGTCTGAAAACCATTGATCCAATGTGACCTCCTGTATAACAAAGGCCACAGCACTTCCCCACAATAATTTCTGAAGTGTAACTTTTACATCTTGATTGGAAAATTGCCTTTAGTGGAGTATCCACTACAACCCTTGCAATGTTATGACAATTATTAATTAGCCTCGCTCTTCAAAATGTACTCATTTCCCATTTAAATGTGTCTTGCCTCAGTTTCCAGCCATTGGGTTGTGTTTTACCTTCTCTGTTTGACTGAAGAGCCTATTAAATATCTTCTTCTCAGGAAGGTATTATCACCATCCTTCCTGAAGTGTGGACACCAGCAGTTGAGAAGCAATTGTACCATTGCCACATACAGAAGTAAAATTACCTCTTTTTTTGCTGCTCAAGACTGCACTGGTCCCCTTTTAGCCACAGCATCATCCAGAGAGCTTATGGTCAGCTGACTGACTCCCAAATCTTTTTTAAAGTTACTGCCTCCCACAGTATAAGAGGCCCATCATACAAGTATTGCTTTAAAGCATACATTATTCCCAAATGTTTACACTCACATTTAGCCATATTAAAACACATAATGGCTGTGTCTAGACTG